ACCTTTCTTCAAATACWTTTTTTGGCATTTTTAGTTTAGTCCATGATTTAAATATTTCAGCTAAGCAAAGCTGGGAAAATCTGGTTGCCTCCAGGTTATTGAAAGACTCTGCTCAAGATATTTGAGAAGAAAAGAGATTATTCATGGTGAAATGAATAATTCACTCGGTCACGATCAGCCAGGTTTTGCTCAGGAGAAGCAGACAACAAAGTGCAAGAGCTTAATCGTTGAAAATATTTAATAAGTCCAGGATTTGCAAGGGGGGAAAAAGGTTTTCTTGTTCAACGTGTTTGCCAGGGAGACAGCATTTTATAGAGCGGTGTTCTAGAATCTGTTAGTGTTATACAAGCTGTGACCTACGGAGATAAACAGTAAGTCACAGATATTTGATATAGTTTTTGTTTATAAATACAGAGTGAGGAAAAAAGATTTATGCAACCAGGGAATGCAACATTTACTATATATAACATGAACATTCTTTCAGGAAAAGATGTTGATTTTTTACAGTATTTGTATTATAGATTATAATATCTTGATTTTGCTGCAGACAGTCACCTTCATGGTGCTTGTGTGTGTTTTAAGGCAGTTCTTTTGTCTTTGGTTTCTGCGTGTGTTTGGTTGGTTTTACAAATGTGTGTGTTTATTACTTGTTAAAGGCCTGGTATGTAGTCTTTTGTTTACAGTTTGACTTCACAGATGGAGAATTGTCAACTGTCAGATTACTGTGTTCAGAGACACCAAGGTTCTTCTCTCAGTGAGGAAATTTTAGTTTTTGTTGTTTTTTTTTAATAGAAAGTTTAGAAAATAGTCACAATATAATTCAATTAATAGGAAGCAAAAAATTGCACACTTAGCAAAATTTCTTGTTCACAATGAAAAGGTTAAAGAGGTTTATATATATTCTATTTAATGTGGGCTATTGTCCATTGAAGTACATTACAGAACTGGACATGTAGTGTTTGCTTCATATAATGACAAATGTAGTAGTTTTCTACTGTCTAAACTGTTTGAAGTTCTCAAACTAGACAAAACTTTTCCATCTTTTTAGAAGCTTTAAGAAAAGTTGCAGCACTGTGTTGTTTTTTGCTGCAGACGTTGATAGAAACAAACAAAATAATAATAATAAATTCTGCACTGGTATAACCCCAGCTCTGTTTTCGAAAAGTTCAGATCAAGGTGGTCGGATGTGAAGTGACCCGGCACTGACATCCCACTGAGCTCTATGTGATCTGCTTCCTGCTAACGAGCGTTCCCATGGTAATGATGATGGAGTGGCGATGGCTAAATCCCATGTGAACACACCTCTTTGCCACTATGGTGTGAGAGAAAGACCTGTACTCTGCAGGGATTCGCTGACCCTCAGGAAACTGAACTCAAACTTAGAGGCAGGGGCTTGTTAAAGCAGCTGGATCGTAACCGCTTTCACATCTGGGAAGTTGGYTGATTATGTCAAGTTCTTTAAAACTCATTGACATTTACCTCGGGTTGAAATCATTTGCAGCTCGAGGGAATACTTCAGTCTCTGAACTCAATATTTTAATTTAGGAAAAAGCTTGTCAACAACAACAGTGTCAAATAGCTGCCCCATTGCTTGAGCTGTGTTGCTTTACAGAGCATGATAATAAAGGGTGTGGTGGTGTTACCTGTCTTTAATGAAGACTGATCAGTGAGCAAACGCCGCAGGGTCAACAACAGGTGTAGCTCTGAGTTTATCAGTGGCAGCTGGGGGATGTGCCGGACCACCGTCGCTCTGCTTTCTTTGCCTCCAKGCTTCTCTGTCTTGTGTTGCTGACAAATGAGGTTTTTCTTCCCCGTCATTAGATCATGTAGGTCTGCTGATGTTGGTATTTGTGCTGGTGTGGCTTCATGCTTTGTGACATGGATTTATCCAATCATCAGTCACTGAGACAAAGTTCATTTTTGGAGGCAGGACAATTGTATCTTAGAGCCTGAGCATAGTGAACAAAGGAAGGGTTGGACTAGTTTGGAATGTTTTAAAAAGAAGGTTTTTTTGTGGACACTGTAGTGATTGATACCAATATCACTACAGTGTCAGCATTTTTACAAGTACTCATACTTGTTAAAAATGCCCTAACACCCAAAACCGATATCATTTTTTCACGAACGTTCACATTTAATGCAACCTCAATTAGACCCTAGTGTGAGTCCTTTATGCTGTTGATGCGACACCCATGCGCAGAAGATGATGTGACTGAAGTTGTTCAGTCAGAGCCAGTTAAATAATTATCTGACATGCTTGTTTAGTTCACTGCTTACATTTGAACCTGCCTCTGGTTGGCTGCTCCGGTGCAGCAGGTGTTTGTGGAACAAGAGCGACGTGCTCGAAGTAAAACTAATATATTGTATCGATCCACTTTAGATGTTGATACGGTCCGACACCATCGTTATTATCACATGTTTCTGTGGATTCTCAGTCATTCAGGACATGGAAAATTAAAAGAAAAAAGATGAAGCAACTGTTCTGTTCTGTAGCTGAGGATTTGTGGAGCTTCAAGATTTAAACAGCATGAGTTGAGATTTGTATTTGAGATTTGTATTTGTATATGAGATTGTCACTTGGACCGATCTGTATGCCCCCAACCTCACTGACAAAAAAGTCTGACGAAATGTGACATGATTATTTAGACTGAGGTCACTTTGGCAAACATCAGATGTGTTTCCAATTTATTACCAGGTTCTAAATAAAATAAATGTTAACACTGATTTTCAATGCAGAAGCCCTGTTTGTATGTCTCAGTTGGTTGTCCCTCTGTTGCACCTTTTGCATTCCTCAACAGGTTAGGGTTAGGGTTAACCCATGTTATTTACATTCAATATTAGTTGATTTTTGAGACTTTTAAATTGATTCAAAGTTGCTTTTTATGACCCCCATCCCTGATATTCTTTTGTCCTCCAACGATAAAACATTGTATAAGACACAAAACAGGCAGAATTTGCATTTAAGGATATTTCATCTTAGATTCATTTTTCGATTTTAAATTTTTTAGACAAAAACTAAACTTAGCGACTACTTTATATTTAAACAGACAAGGATAATTATTCAGCTTATTTAACTTTCCATACTGTCTTAGTGCTCCTTTTAGTCAGCTGAGATGTTTTAACTACCCTAAAAACAATTACACCAGGATGGGACAAATTGTTGCTTTATTTCCCATGATTCAACTGGGTATTCATGCTGATGTCGCAGAGGGAGGTGACTCTGTGGGAGGTCAGATGTTCTCACAGCCTCATGAATGAAGCATGGAGTGATGGTGTGGTCCGGTTCTGAGGCCTGACAGCTGAGAGTACTGGCTGATGTCGGCAACATGAGTCCATTAGTGATGTCTGCTTTATTAATTAGTAACACACTCTGAGTATCAGATGGACAGGGCTGGGACATTACCCGTCCATTCGAGAAATCTGCAGAAATTGTCCACTGAAATGCTTGTCACCAGTTATTTGTTATCACCTAAATAATCTAATTCAAACTTATACTTTTTCATTTATAAAATATATTTTTTAAATTGCTGCAAGCCCTGCACTTACATCACTTCTATAATCACTGCTGCTGGGTTTAGGATGAATATGCCTGTTTTTTTTTTATTTAATTTTATTTTGTGTCAGTTGTTTTAATAATTTCTTTGCACAAAAGAGTATCAGATAACTGTGACCACAGCAGTGAACAATGCTGTGACACGCATCTTCTCTCCAACTGAGAGGCACAACGCTGCAGCTGATCTAACAAAGGAAGGACGGAGCAAACTCAAGTAATTGCTTTTCAGCTGCTCAGTGACAAAGAGGTACAGAGAGGAGACCTTGTTACTTAATTCAGTTAAAACTGGGTTTGAATTCAAATGCTAGTTCTTAAAAAAAGTCATAGCAGAGGACTGTATACAGAGAAATTAAAAAAGTTTATTCCAAATCTACAGTTTAATGATATACACAGAGATTCTGCAGTGATGTTGATAAAGGTCCAGGTTGTAAAAACTTGTCTTGTTGGAAGGGAACAGATTTCATTAAATCTAATTTAAAGCCCCGCTCTGAGAAAGTCCGGAGCAAAGAAAAACTCTCAATTAGAAGGAACCTCCAGGAAAACCAGACTCAGAAAGCTCGTCTAYCTGCCCTAAACTTGTTGAAGAATAAGTAGCCACGATAAAGATGCAAACAACTCTTTATTTTAATGGCATTAATAAAAACTTAAAACTGAATGGACAGCAAAGAGAATAACTTCAGCACAAGAGGTGATCAGCATTAATTTAGAGTCTCTCATGGCTTTTCAAAAATAAAAGTTTCAAGGTTAGTCTCTGCTTCATGTGTGGGTGTTTGTGTGCTGTTTACACTGACTAAAGCTAGCATGCTGAGGCATTGTAAGACCATATAAAGGTMGTTCAGGTGTTTTTTTTTAACCTGTTGCTTGTCTGTCTGTGATAATCACACAAACTGCAGTGAAAGATTGTTCCAACAAACAATAAAAAAGCTAATGAATGAAGTCAAGCATTAATCTAGTGGAAGTTATCATCCTTCAAGGACCACCAGATAAAGCTTGAATCACAAAAAAATTGAGTAAAAAGTTATTTTCTTAATAAAAATGGTCATRTTGGATTATAAGAATTATCTTAACATCTTCATCTGTTTGACATATTTACTTCACTCTGAGGTCCTCCGTGTTTCTACTTGACAAATTGTATTAATCAGTGAGGCTTACGACTTCTTTTTAATCTGCACTTACATAAGTTATTTTTCTTAATGAGCTGCTACAGGTTAAATGGTGATAMAGCTTTATGTAACAGGGCTAAGCTCTGTGTGTAATTTGTACACCCCAAAGCCTGACTTCAAAGCCCTTTAACTAAAGAAAGAAAAAGGATTTATTTTACCCCCTGCCTTCTTATTGGGTACCCCTGTTGAGCCCGTTAGTTTTGACAAATTTCAGATTGTCCAAGATGATGCGCACGACTGCCTCACTGTAACCCTGTCACTTTTTTTATTTGTTTCTGCTGTAGCTCCATCATGGCCGTCTTCACCCCCTGTCCTCTCCCTTCGAGAGATATCCTTCAAAGCTAAGCGTGATGGATGACTGTCTGACGGACGGAGATGGACAGAATCAAACCATGGCCCATCAGATTCAYGTCAAAGTGAAACACAGTCCTCTGCAAGTCACTTTTGAAAACCAGGAGATCCTCATCAGGTTGTTTCTCATCCTATGCACCGAACCCCCTCAGCACACCGCCTGCTGAGTGTTAACCCTCGCGCTGCTGGTTATGAGCTGCTCACCCGCCACCAATGAGCCAGAGAGCTGCAGCAGCGAGGAGAGCAGCTGCACCACTTCCTCCATCACCAACTCTGAGCCGTCCTCTATGTCCACGCAGACCGACTCGCTCGGCAGCGCCCCCGGCGTGGCCCGCGACATCACCCCGCCGCCACCGCCC